GTAAATGGGTGCCTGTTTGTTAATATGTTTTCGTGCTTTTATTTTTAAAATAAATTTTTAAAATAACATGGCTACTTTAAAACCTACTATTTCAACATTCTAATATAGGGTCATAGATTTTTGTTTGTTTGTTTGTTTTGGCTTTTTGAGACAGGATCTCACTATGCAGTTCAGGCTGGCCTTGAGCTCACTTTGTAGCCCAGGCTGGTCTCAAACTTGCAACGATCCTCCTGCCTCAGCATCCTGAGTGCTGGGATAATAGACATGCACCACCACACCCAGAAAGGGTCATAGAATTTCATAATTGGAAAGAAATTTATTAATAATTTAGTTTTCCCTCTCTTTTGTAGCTGTGGAAATTGAGATTTATAGTAGATAAATTTAAATAACTTTTGTCACCAACTCACACTAGGAAAAGTTTTGTGATTCTCCCATTCCAGAATTTTCTATATAAATTATCTTCACAAGCTATGTTTTGCTTATGTTTATTGTTTAAACTAAAAATATACACACATAAGTGTGCTTAAGAATTTATATTTGGCTTATTTCAACACATGAATCCAGCTTTCTCTAGCTAGAGACATGTTAGTAAAATACACAGTGTATTGTATAATACTGTGCTGATTCTTCAGAAATATATATTTTTCCAGAAAATCAAGCTCCATTGTTAATTTCTTTGGTTGTGAAAACAAATATGTGGATCAGAGAAAAAAATCTTAACTGGGGTAATTCCTGACCAGAATTGGGGGTCACAGAATCACGTACCAGATTTTATAAGCAAATTCATATAAGCACATTGTATAAGCATGTTTATATAAGCACAATTTCCTCCTTTATTTTGTTCCAGTAAGTATTGTTATACAGGTTGAACTTTAGAAGTACAATTTGCATTGTGAGAAAGCATGCATGTAGATACATTAATAATCAAATGTTCTGTGATACAATGCCAAGCATTTGTTTTCAGTCTCAGCATAGCAGAAGTTTTCTGGTGAAGGTCTGTCCTCTGTGTTGTATATTTCGCAGCATCCCCGGGGTCTGCTTACTAGGTGCCAGTAGCACGCCCCCTGTTGTAACAAGAAAGCTTCCAACACTGCCAGATGTTCCGGAGTGTGGGTGAAGGGTGAGCCCAGTTAAGAACTACTGCTGTGAAGTAAGGCTGCTTTCTTCAGGTTTTTTTAAGACTACTTAAAAATATTTCTGTGAATAACTTCCCTTTCATCTCCAGGTTAAATATCTTTCCTGTGCTGCAGCCGCAGTGGCTTACTTGCTTTTTTCTTAGTATCTGCAATATTTATTCTCACTTCTCGTGCTCCCGTGTTAATTTTGACCCAGCCATACTGCACAATCAAGTGTGTGTTTTTAGCCCTTGGCTAAGCCGATTTCTTCGTCTGTGATGGCTTTTAAAAAATTGTTTCATTTTCCTGATACTATGTTTCATAGACATTATAACCTTAGGAAACAAAATGAACCTGTAAAACATTAGGGTAGGTATTTTTATTCTCATTTTGTATATAAGGAAATTAAGTGCCTGTTTCTAGTACAGCAAACGTTTTCTTTTTGTCCCTGGTAAGTGTAGTTTTATAAGTATTTGGGTTTTATATTTAGAGGCTCTTCATGAAAGGAAAAAGGAAGGGAGGGAGGTAAGGGACAAAGGACAGAGGAGGGAAGGAAGGGAGAGAAAGCAAGGTTGGGAAACCCCTTGAGATGATAAAAACCGGCACAGGGTAGACCGTGATCATTTATTTGTTTGTTTGCCTGCTTGTTTGAGACAAGATCTTGCTATATACTCCGCTGGCTTTGAACTCATTATGTAGCACAGGCTGGCCTTGGACTAGTCCTGCCTCAGCCTCCCAAGCGCTGGGATCACAGGCATGTGCCACCTCAGCTGCCTAGACAGTGATCTGGTCTTACCGTTTAAGTCACCGTAGTAGCATCCTTTGAGATTCAGCCCCTTTAAACACCTCCACCATTCACAGCAGCACCCTCATGCCCGGCAGCCTTAGGTCTTCCCAAGGGGAACAAACCTGAGAATTTTTGGTTGCTTCCAAATGGTTTATTGCTAGGAACAAGGAGAGATCAGCAATTCACTGTTTACACTCAAGTCTGGGAGCAGCACTGCTAGAGGCACTTCTGAAGCTTCCCGAAGCTTCGACTGCCCCGGAGTCTCTCCTTTGACAGTTGCTTGCCTGCCTTTCCGGCCTTCTCCACGCAGTTCTGTGAATGAGAGACTTTTCACATCTTCCAGCATTCAAATATTTTGCACATGGAATAAACAAAAGAAAAATTTAAATAGGGGATGTGGGACGATTGATGGGAAGCAGGTGCTCTCAGAGGTAATATTGTGTTGCCATGGCAACATTTCTGGAGGCATTTGTGCACCCCAGGCCCTAAAAACATGAATATTACATTATTGGACTTGTTTTTAGAGAAATAATGAGATATGCTAAAAAAATATGAATTCAAGGCAAGAATGCTTATCCAAATGCTGTTAGAAATTTAAGAAATCATCAAATAAAATGGTGATATGATTACACAAATCATGGCTTATTCATACAATGAAATACCACATAAATCATGGTACTGTCATGCAAATAAATATATGCCTAAAAAGTCTGCAGGAATTGGGAGGGGACTATGAATTTCTTCTTTAATATGCTAAATTGCTAGAATGAATATGTATGGCCACAATGATACTACAGGTGAACGGAAGAATGCAAATGACAAGAATTCATGGCTCATTGCTATTGTTATGCAGAAACAATTTCCTGCGTATCTCACCTGGTGGATGCAGGGCTTTTCTATGTGTGGGTGACATGCTGTGGGATTAACACACTTTATGATCAATACCTGATCACCCAAAGCTTTCAAAGCGTTGTGCTACATTTTACATCATCTATGACCATTAATCCTGGTATCAAAAATTAAGAAATGCCTAGCAGATTAGTAAAGCATGCTTCTGGGTGTATCTGGGTGTGAAGCAGGCATGGTCTTGGGTACTATATGTGGTCCCTCTCTCTGGCACTGTTCCCCTACTTTGCTTCCCAGCTGCCTACACAAGCTATCTCATTTATTTTTTAAAGAAAAAAAGTAAAAGAAAAAAGAAAAGACCAAGATAGATATTATTCTCATTTTGTAGATGAGGAAATTGGGGCTCTGAGTGGTTAATGAAATGTCTAGCAAGGATTTGAGCCCAAGAATTCTAATGGCAAAGTCTGCACTTAACTCCTAAACTACATTGTCTCTCACTTTTAAGCCTGAGCATGCACTTTTAAGCCAGAGCATCTTTCTGGATCATGTACATCAAGAAAAGAAGTGAAAAACAAACAAACTTCTCACATGAAGAAATACAAATGGCAAATAAACATGAAAAAATGCTCAACATCATTAGTCATTTGAGAAATGCAAATTAAAACACTGAGATTTCATCTCAGCACAGAAAGAATGGCTATCATCAAGAAATCAACCCATAACAAATGCTGGCGGAGCTGTGGGGAAAAAGGAACCCTTCTCCACTGCTGGTGGGAGTGCAGACTGGTGCAACCACTGTGGAAATCAGTCTGGAGATTCCTCAGTAAACTAGGATTAGAGGTCCCATTCAACCCAGCTATTCTCCTCCTGGGTATTTTTCCAGAACTGAAAACATCATACCACAGCGATATGTGTGCACCCACGTTTATAGCAGCACAATTTGTAATAGCTCAATGTTGGAAACAACCCAAATCCCGATCAGCTGAGGAATGGTTAAAAAAGATGTGGTATTTTTATACAATGGAGTATTACAACTACTAGAGACCATACTCATAAGTGAAATAAATGAAACTCACATGTGTAAACATTGTATTTCCTCCCTAGTATAAGAACCTGAAAGAGTAAATAAAATCTGAAAGGTACAATAGATACTGTGAAAGGGAAAAGAAACTGCTCACATAGGAATGAGCAAGTGAGACGAAGGAGGGGAGGGCAAAAAGGAAGAGGAAAAAAGTATGTGCATGTTTACACAGGGTAGCTAGGATAACTGCACTGCTAATATCTATTGGTTTATTGAAAGGAACAGTTAATGTGTAATTGATCAATCTTGCATGCCTGTATCTGGTTATATGTGCAACCATTTTGAAGACGACATCATATAACAACCACTGTTAATATCCTATCACCATGTTTTGAAATTCTGTATCATTTTTTTTCTCTAGCTGTTTTATGTATTTGTTTCTATTTTGCTTTTTTAAAATGAGAAACAATTTATATGTGTAGACAAGGATAGCTGGGTTAGGTGTATTGCTGACATCTGTAGTTTATTGAAAGGAAAAGTCAATGCTTAAAATATTTTTTCTTGGCGTTTTGCACGCTTGAATCTGGTAATCAGAACGACTCACCTGCAAACAACAATATGCAGTATAAGAACCATTGCCGAACTCCTACCATCTTGTATGGTGAAGCTCTGCATCATTTCCAGTGCTACTTTTTTATTACTTTTTACCGTCTTTGATTGTTTGATCAATCTTACAGCTGGTGGACTGAGCAATTTCACTGAAGATAATAGTACGTGATGTAGCAACCAGCGTTAATTCCTATCATTTTGTTTTGTGGTCATGTATTGTTATTGTTTTTGTGTTGTTTTGATTTTGTCTTCATTGTTGTTTTGTTAGTTTTCTAATTTCTAAAATAATAAAGGAAAAAAAATAAGAAAAGATGATTTTAGTAATTAATGTCATGAGGAAGGAAATTTCTTTTAAAAATTTTTTTTGTTTTTTTTTCCAGTATTGGGAACTGAACTCACGACCTTGCACTTGCCAGGCAGGCGCTGTGCCGCTGAGCTAAATCCCCAGCTCCCTGAGGAAGGGAAATTTAAAGCAATATGGGAAATGAAATCAGGGACTATTTTCCCAATGGGAAACTTTCTCATGAAGAATGGAGCTTATTTTTTGTTTGATTTTCAGCAACTGAGTATACAGAAATTTGTAAAAACATACACCATAAAAAACGAGTCTACTTAATCAACATGGAACACACGGATGGTTAAAGTTTATTTTATTCATCAGATGATGGAATACCAAGAGGCAAAAAAATACTACCAAGATTGGAGAAAGCTGATAATTTACATTATCTATTTTTAGTGAGGTTCCAAGTTTTTTATGACATTAAAACACACACTACAATATAAAAAAAAAAAGCAAAATATACTCAATGGCACGATGACAGCATAATTAGGACATCAACCGTGGTTTTCTTATCCTCACAACTTTGCAATTTTGAGACTGTGTAGGCATAATGTAAACAGATGGGAAGGACAGTCACCTCAGTGAGGAGGAAGAAAATGATGAAGGAAAAGATGGAGGTTTAATAAGGTATTCCTTGCCGCAGTGGCGGAGAAGGTCTAACCCGACACTGAGGGACACAGATACTAATTCACCCAGCAGCGTGGGTACCCTAACAATGAACTGATGAGGAGCCCCAAGGGATTCTTCCGCTGTGACTCAGCTATACTTTCCTTAACTGTGTAATGGACATTTCATCAGGATGCATAGTGCCTTAGATCTTTTTTGAAAAAACCAAAAAAAAAAAAAAAGTTCTGAAGGCAAGGATGTATAACACACGGCTGTACAGTATATCCATGAGATATGCTATGCTTCAATAAAGATGCTTTGATGTGAAGGGTTTTAACTTCTGCTACTTCCTATTTAATCATTCTTTCAGAAGTCATTTTGTATGTTTCTTAAACACATACTTGATGTAAAATATAAAAATATGCATACATTCTCAAGGTCAGATTCAGTAACCAAGCTCGGTTACACCCTTACTCCTTCCTGCATATGGAGTTGCACATAAAAACCGAAGGCTGCATCTTCTTGGTGACCCATGCAGTGTGCGCACACAACTCAAGTACACAACTAGACGTCCCTTATACCCTAAAACCTACCCTCCCAGTTACAACAGGCTTAACTACAAAAATGAAAGCACTGACAGCTGCATCTAAACCATGCTGGGCAGTAAATCTGGTCGGAAGGGCCACAAGAAAAACACTGGCAGCTAAGCACGGATCTCCCTTGTTTTCACATGGGAGGGAGATCATTCTCACCTTACATGGCTTTTCCCTACGCTGCAAGCTTTTGCTAAACAGGCATTTCAGGTTTGAAAATAAAACGATCCCTTTCAGTGAAAAAGCCGAGAGACGCCTCTCTGGAGTTTCTGATCCTGGAAATGGCTTGCTCTAGGTCCTTAAGGCAAAGGCCAGTAATCAAATAAACTGTGGAACCGCTTCAGGTTGTAAACAATAGAACTGCTGACCAAGGACTTAACCCTGGATGAAAACATTCTGCAAAAAGGCCTGTGTGGATAAAACCAGCTTCTTTGTTCTTGAGGTTAATGTGACTTTTATATCCTAGAGGTGTTGCGTATTTTTTCTACCGCGGAGATTTCTGGACTAGATAAAAGTTCATGTTGTTGCGTAAAAACAAAAATACATAGCATGGACAAGCTACTCAAATATCAAGCACTTTTCAGGTTTGCTTCCGTTTTACTTTCACACTTTACTTTTATGGTTGGCATAGGGAAAACCAAATTGGGAAATCATAATGTTGGAGTACTTTAACGGCATGCTGTCATAGATCTTAACAAGCTTATTTATACAATAAGATCGCTGCAGGAAGTGCTCGGCCCGATGCCACATTCCAGAATAGCCGCTGTTGGTTTCTTTTTCTGAATTGACCATGTTTACAGGTTTCACAAAGATCCCTGATGTCTTCCCAATGTGCTTGGCGATGATGAAATTCATGGCAATATCATCACAGTTTTGGGTTTCGTCTATTAAAGCGTGGGTGGCTGAAGGCTGTTTCTGAAAGAGTTCGAGATACCTGCTGCTGAAGAACGAGGCTCCGATCAGCACCATGGAGTACTGGTCACCGTTCCCACACCCTGGTGTCTGCAGTTCAAAGCCTCCGTAACTGTAGATACCTGATGACGTAGAAACGTGCTTTCTAGGGATGAACCCCACGATCTGATCAGGAAATTGCTGAAGAGAGGGAAAAAGAGAAATTAAGTGTGGCATTTCTTTAAGCAGACAGTGAAAAAAGGACATTTATTACAGAAAGAACGAAACTGATCAACTTTTCCTTATTACTCATTTCTACATCTTACTGTCACGTAATTCCAAACAATTTTATAAATCTGTAACCTAAGCTTACAGGTCAAGGTCCATCACAACCCAACTCTCTGAAAGAAAAAAAGCTCTAACCTCACACAGTCTCCTAATTTTAACATCATCTAACCTTGACAAATTCCAGCCACTCAAGTCTGCTGTGAGAGAAGGTGCTTGCATAGATGCTATTTACTGTAGGAGATAAGATGTAGTATTATTCTGAATAACTGTTCTGGTCTCTTTGGCAAATATATAACTATAGTTCTCTCTATATAATTGTACTGTTTTTCTGTATTGATTTAGTATTTCTGAAAGTTACTGTGGACTTTAAACATTATAAATACTTTTATATTTTTGTTCTTTCTAGCTTGGGTATTTATTTCCTTTTTAAAATATGAATATAAATACATAAAAAGTGAATTATATATAATTGGTTCACACAATTTGGTTTGCAAGCAGAAGTGTTTGACAAAATTTTATTTTTGCTTTCAAACTCTGCATCAGGTGACAAACACAACCAGACACCTTTTCCACAGAAACCCAAATGTGGCAATCTTTTCCAAAACTGTAGAACAAATTAAGTTTGTGAACCAAGATATCATTGTATATGCATATATGCATATAAGCGTAAATGAGAGTTGTGTCAAGATCTTTGAAACAAAGAGTAGCAAAATGCTAGTAATATTAATGTGAGAGTGACGAAAATAAAACAAAAGCAGCGAAGGAAAGAAACATACTGACGCATGGGAGAGAGGCAGAGACTTACGGGATGGAAAGCTCAGTTCATTCCTGGAAAGACCGCAAGCTTCCTTCGTGTACTGAACAGACCCTAAACTCGCGGCACACACACACAGCCAATGAGGGTGGGTTAAATCTCACTTCAAATCAGAGGACTCACAGTCCAGGGAAGTATGGTACAAACACGCGAACGAAGACAATGCGAGGGTAAGCTGTAAACGTAGCTGGGTAGTTTCACGGGAGCATGGAGGACAGAGTGACAGCAGTGTTGCTGCACGGAAGTGGGAGGTCACACAATCTGAATGAAAGACATTTCCCACAGGGCTAGTGTAGGAGAAAGGGTAACAATGAAAACGGAAGGAACAGGCACATGCAGAAGAGCAGTGACACCACACATCTTGCTGGCCCGTATCCCTCGAATCGTTACACATGCAGGGCCTTGCTCAGACTCATCGTGACGGGCCAGATTTCCCTGGGTAATAGATTCAAACTGCTCTGGACAATTTCATGAATAAAACCTAGTATCACAGCTATACCTCCTGAACTATGGTTTACTAGGATTGTTCCAATTAGCCATAGTCCTTATATTCTGTCTTCCATCATCTTTACTTTTTGAGTAAACAATTTTTTTAACCGTTCATAGAAATCTCACAGCTGAAGTATATTATATTAGAACTTTCTGCCTGAGAAGCTTTAATTTACAGGGCTAGAAAAACTGCTGTGGACACTTACCATAAATACCTCATGTTGTTATATCCCAAGCTGTTAATGAAGGGTAGTTGTTACAGTGCAAATTAGATAGTTTATTGGGTAGCACTGCGTCTAATCATTTTACAGGGCTTCAGACTATTTGTATGCAATGCTGGATTCAGCCGATTGTGTTACAATTATGAAAGTCAGATATTATTAATCCATACCCAGTAGGAAAACTAGTGAGCAATAAAGTCCTGTTTATCCAAGCTAGGATTCAGGGAAAAACAAAAGAGAAACCTGCCCCACCACAATGGTACACGCAGAACCACTGCTGCAGAATTTGTAAACAACAGTCTTAGAACCAGGATTAAATTTTGGTTTCTTTCACAAAAAGTTATATACAGTAGTAATATAAAGACACGTATCTCCTCTGAGACACCTGTCTGTGGTCTGTGTAGAAAGCTACCCTGCACTCTAGTTTTTGGTTTATCAGATCACGTCTTCATTGTTCTCTAGAAGGGAAGTCCAGTTCTCCTTTCCAGTTGTTGTGGTTTGTGTCTGGGTGTCCCCCCAAAGCCTCATTTGTTCGTGGGGGCCAGGCTTTTTGGAAGCATCTGAATCTGGAATTTGTGACTGGTTCACTGTGTAGGGCTGGGATTGGCAGTGTGAGCGCTACACCTACTCTAGGGCAGGTAGCCTGCATACAGTGTAAAGGAGGGAAAAGAGGCTTGCTCCCCTCTTTTGCTCTTGCTGCTTTTGGGTGTCTCCCACTGCCATGAGCTGTTGCCCCGCTGCCACGTCACCCTGGTTTGGAGCCAGCTGATTATGGACTGAAACCTCTACAAACTGTGAGCTAAATAAATCTTTCCTTGCTTAACTTTGGGTGTTGGGTATTGTGTCTTAGTAACAAGAAAAAAGTAACTGATACACCAATATACTATTAATTAAATATAGATAAAATATTATAAGTTTAAGGTTGGTTTAATTAAGCTCAGGAAAACTTGATTAGTCTATACCAACTTCAACTATCTTTTAGACAAATAACTAAGTAGCATGTTTTGAGTACCTCCTAGGTTAAACCACGTTGGCCTGAATAAACACTGGATAAAACTCCACACAAGAGGTTTCATAAAGGACATAGCAACATTACCTGCCAAACTGAGAAAGCAAAAACAAGGTCCTGGGCACTGATCAGTGTGTCATCATCTACCATTAACACCGCTGAAAGGAAATGAAAAAAAAATTTATATTGAACAGTTTGCAAAGGAAAATAAAAGTAGTTAAGGTACACTTGTGTCTATGGAGATTGTAAATAAAGTTCGTGGTCCAATTAGTAAATAAGAAATGTACTGGAAAAATTTGTCTAGTAGAAAAAATCTTTTTTTTTGGTTTTTCTCCGGTACTGGGAACCGAACTCACGACCTTGCGCTTGCCAGGCAGGTGCTTTTGCCGCTGAGCTAAATCCCCAGCCCCAGAAAAAATCTTTTTGAATTATAATTGGTTTTACAACTACCCAAGGTGGACATAATCATGTAATGATCATCCACCATTCTAGAAACAAATGAATCTCTAAGTCAAGTCAAGTTTCTTTCAAGCAAATTACAACCTCAAGAAACTGACAAATAGTGACAAAAAACAATTAAGCTAAATAATACCTTAGTATTTCCTGTTATGCAATGTTTGTACTATAGCACGTCTTTCTTTTTGCAATATCTTTATTATTATAAAATATGTCATTTTCTCTCCAGTAAGCTGTATTATAAGAGCTTAGAAACTGCTCCTTTAAGCTTTTCAAATCATGTTCTTATGATTAATTTCTTACTTCTCCAGCGAAGACAAGTAAAAGTCAAAAGTCCACATACCATTCCAGTTCTGATGGACCACAGCCCTTATAGTCTCAGAACCCAGGTTCAACTCACCATTGGTTTCCACTTCAGGGAAGACCTGGAGACGATTTCTCATTCTGTTTGCTGTTTGGTGTTTGAAGATCACAGGGACAGGGTGAGGCCCCAGAGAATCCCATAACTCATCTGGCCCCTTTTCCCCAACGTTGTTCCATACTACAATCACTTTGTGCAGATGTGGTACTGCCTGATAATGATTTAAAAGTCTCAGTAAGAGATCTGTTCTATTGTATGTCTGCATGATAAGAGTAAAAGAATCCAGAGCAGATGTGCCCTGGGATTTTGTTTCCCTACGCAAAGTAAGCATCTTGTCTTCTTTGATATTGGGAAGTAAATTGGTCAAGGCCCCAGCTACCAGGAGCAACATGAGGATGACCACCAAAGAGAAACGAAGCACCCGGATCCCCATGACTCTCCCGGGAAGTTTGCAGATGTGGCAACACCTGGAACAGAAATGAGTACAAAATACAGAATATTAACATTCTTGCCAATCGCTGCATTTTTATGTTTTTTCAGTGGAAAGAAATCAATCTTAGTTTAGGTGATTCAAATTTACTTCTCCCTTGCTCATCAAAAGATGATCTGGCCTAAGAGATAAAAACTATAGCCCAATATTCCTTTCCTTTGGCCCTGCTCGTGCAGTCACAGACAAGAGATCTTATACAGACCACGGAAGAATTAAGTTCTCTCAAGTTTGACCTTATCTTACCACTGATAATCTGCATCTGCGATTATGTCTAAAATGGGACCTATTTCCCATAGTAATATATTAATTTTAAATTTATATGCTGGTAGCAAACTTTCCCCCCATATAACATCATATACAGAGCCAGAACACATGAAGCAGGTAACAATGATAACAGCAGCGGCAAATAATTCTGGTGGATTTATGACTCCTCAGGCCTTGCACTGTGTTTCACAGATCATATTACGCATTTACTCATTTACAGAATTAAACAGATAGCATTTGTGCAGGCACTGTTCTAGGTTTTACTCACACAGCAACTGAGTAAAATATAAAGCGTCTGCTGCTAGTATCTGAGGAGACAGGGAGAGACAAATAAATTCAAATGATTATGTAGGACAGTGGTCATGAAGAGACTATGATTATGAGGAAAATAAATCAGAATGATGTGATAAGCAAGGGCCAGCCTATGAAGGGCTTTGACAACCTCAATAAGCATACAGATTTTATTCTACATGACAGGGAAAGCCATTCAAGGGCTGATTAGGAGAATATTGAGATTTGATTTATCTTCTATTATTATTATTCTCATTTAATACATACAGAGGATAATTGCATACAGAGGATGAGTAATTTTCCCAAGATTACTAATCAATTTAAGTAATGGAGCTAGAATTTTTATCCGGAAAATCTGGCCCCAGAGCCCAGGCTGCTCATCACTGTGGACTGTAGCGTGCTACCTGGGTCCAAATCCAGGTTGGAACTGCGGTCAGGCTCTCGAGCTTCCGAAGCTCCCTATTTGCAGTACAAATCACACAGTCACGCGCCCGGCGACTCATTCCTTTACTCCCAATACCCACGGGTCCCCCACACGGCCATAAAACAGCAATGAAAGAATAACTGATATGCATGGCTTGGGTATTCATCCGTTAAAATATTTTTTTTCTAATCAAACTTCTCAGTTTTGTATGTGAGAAAAGGTCAAATCTTTTCTTTTTTTGGTATCAGGAGTCAAGCTCACGACCTCGCACTTGCTGGGCAGGTGCTGTGCCGCTGAGCTAAATGCCCAGCCCAAAAGGTTAAATCTTAAGACAGTTTTACAGCGACCTAGAACTGATTACTGGTTTCTACACAATTGCACTTCTACGCTTACCGACTCCTACTAGTGCCTTTGTCCTTCAATTATTTGTTTTTAATTCCTTTGTTATTTCTGCTTCTGCCTCCAGATTTCTTACTCCTCTGCAAGTCTCCAGAACCCTTACAGACGTGTCCTTATTTTTCATTCTGGTAACTGCCGCATCCTGTCCATTTTAGCTACACATGGATTCAGTCTGCTATGACTGCAGCCACCTGAAGCTGTAACTCCGTGCTTTCACCAGGGTAAGATTAGTAGTTTTTCCCTGCAGCTTCCCAGCCTATTACAAATGACAAGAACCTCACAGTGGTATCTGGAGCCACACAACCAGGCACACGCGGGCAGAAGAGCTGCTTCACAGTGGCAGGGAACAGTCACTGTCCCAAGCGCAATTAGTTTGCAACGGTCCAGGTTTGAAAAGCAACGTTACCTTGATGGTGAGCTTTCTACGGAGTTTCAAAGCTATTCTCTCCCAGACTTTCTCTGCAGTTTATTTAAAACAGCAATTCTGTTTCCTGGCCTGTCACGGCTACACTCTAAGATATGAATAAAAAAAATTATTTCTCAAGTAACCTCGGCTTTACTATGATTATCTCTCAAGGATAGTAATTTAAGGCTTTAGAGTACCACATTTTCATTTTAGGCACCCTCTTACTAAGACAATGTGTTCTGTTAATACAGTCCACCAAACACATAACAAATGAATTAATCATCTTGATTCAAAGACCTGAAAATCCTTTCAATCAATGATACGCTGAAAAGCATCTCCTAAACATATTTTCAGTTCTGCATAAAAATGGCCAGTTATAAGCTCAGAGTAAAGAGCATTCTGACAACCGTATTAAAGTACACTGGAGTAGGGGCTGGGGATTTAGCTCAGCGGCAAAGCGCCTGCCTGGCAAGCACAAGGTCATGAGTTCAGTTCCCGGTACTGGAGAAAAACCAAAAAAACCAAAAAAAAAAAAAAAAAAAAACCCAAAATAAAGTATACTGGAGCAAGATTCCTGTATTCAGGTGAGTAGGAACAGAGTACTGTAAAACGTGTATGGAAGGGTTTCCAGGATCTAAAGTGGACTGTAACTTACTATGTGTCAGTATAGTCTACATTAATTACTATAACTTACTGTAAACACACGTCAAAGACTCGTGAGTGACTGCTTCAATTTTATCTATACGTTGAAGTAGTGTATTCCCTGGACCCATTACAGAAACATTCTCTTTCAGATAGCTTCTAATCCCCTACTTTACCTCTATCAGAAAGGTTTCTAGAAATATGAATAATTTATGTCTTTAGAAACATACTCTAAATATTTCATTTGGTATTTATTAAACACAGCAGTCCAATAAAATTATGCAAACTTTCTGGCTTGCATGGAAAAGTGAGAGCAAGGACATCAGAGACTGAAGTGCAAGTGAAGATACACTGTACTTTAAGAAGAGTGAGGTCCAGACTCTTCTGCAATTCCATCAGAAATAACATTAGTACAGTTGGGAGAGTAATAATGACTACAGATATATGGATTTCACAGTTTACAGCTTTCATCTTTGCTTTTCTAGAGAATGAATCTATTATCTAATTCATAGCTTTGAGCTGTAAATGAAAGATACAGGAACACATTGGGATGACATATCTTACTTGTAAAGAACCAAGAAGAAATTTAGGCGTCTCCCAGTTCTCTTGCTCTCATTCCTAAATTTTCTTTTGAAAATTCTTTTCTTTCATTCCAAAGAGGAGCTGATGGCTTTTAGTTCGTTGTTTCCACCCATCTTTCATCCCCATAACTATAGAAGATGAAATGTAACTTTGATAAACATTGTAAGTACCAGCAAAACAAATTAAGAATCCTTCCTCTTTTTTTATTACATGGTACCTCAGTCCACAAAATTAATTTGTTCCAGAATGCTGGAAAAGATGGCCATATTTGTGTTTGTGTAGGAAAGATGGCCTTGGTTGTGTAACTCACCTAATACAGAGTTCATAAACAAAAACAAAATTCTGCGAAACCTTTCTGTTTGCGAACCAAATTGTTCACAAACAAAATTGTTCATGAACCAAAGTACCACTGTACTTAAAAAATCGTATTTCTTAACGATATATATTTTTTGCACCTATGTTAACTTACTAGTTCTTCACAGGTAGAGAGTACACCCTTTTAGTTATACATTATTATTTCAGCATCTTCCACATCAAAGGCTTTCAACTAGGGACAGCTATGTTTTCCAGCGAGCACAGTAAAGCATAGAGATATTTCTGACTACTAGAACTCAAAGGGAAACACTATTAGTATCTAGTAGGCAGATGTCCAGGACGCTGCTGAACACCTACAATACTTGGGACAGCCACCCAAAGCAAACAGTTACCTGGCCTAACATATCAATAATGGCAAGGTTGAGAAACCCTGCTCCGCAAATTAGCTGCCTAAGGCACACCTGAGTCTGACAGGCGGTAGCCTCTGAAAACGTGACTACCATTTGTTATATTCGAGCAGTAAGGGATAAAGCTGTGTCTCAAACTGCCTCAATATTTACGCATCTCACTACATGTGTTTACTATCAACTGGCAGAACTGGAAGAGACCTCAGAGCATTCGCAAACCAAATTCCTTGCTTCCCAGATGAACTCAGGGTCCACGGATAAAGAACTGCCTAAGGTGGTCCAGCTGCATTAGGCTCATCAGCAGCAGGGCCAGGACCAGAGCTTCCCGACAGCTCCGTCCATGACTCTTTTCACACGTTGCAGTAAATTCTGCAAGGATGTGTCAAAAAAGAAATACGTAACATTGTCACTACGGTACCTGCAAGATAACATAAAAATTAATACTTGGTATTTTGGAATTTTTTACAGCTTTAATAAGATTTCACTTATCCTAAAATTCACCCATAGAGTTTAGCGGTTTTTAATATACTCAATTTTAAAACATTTCTAACACCTCTAAAATATTCTGACCCATTAGCAGTCACTTCCTTTTCTATTGTCGTCAACCACCAACCTCTACTCCAGCCCCAGAAAGTCATGAATTTACTTTCTGTCTCAATGGCTTTGCCTGGTCAGCACATTTCCTAGGAAGAGAATCACAGAATATACAGCCATCATATCTGGGTTTCACATTAGCAAAAGTTTTGCAAGCTTCATATATATTGTAGTATAGATGGGTACCTCATTTTTTTTTTTTTTTTTGCCATTTCATTGTATACATGTATCATATTTTGTCTCTTTGGTTGCTGGACATTTGGGTTGTTTCTACATTTTGGCTGTTATGAATACTATTGTGATGGATTCATGCACAAATGTTTATGTGAATATACATTATCATTTCTCTTAAGTGTCTAGGTGTGGAACTGCTGGGTCCTTATGTATTTAACACCTGAGAGTTGAAGAACGCTCTTTTTTGGAAGAGCATTATTTGAAATTGTAGGAAATTTTCTTAAATGTGGTATTATGACTTGTATCTGGATCTCCCCCTAAGGTCTCATTTGGTCATAGGTGGGGCTTTTCAGAGGTGGCTGGATCTGGAGTATGAGACTCTGGGATCAAGGACGCGATGCTGAGATTGATTTACTGTGTGATGCTAGGACTAAGGCTGCCCCACTGTGGGTATGAGTGCCACCTGCCCTAAGGATGGG